TTTGGAACCTCGCTACCAGAGACTGGCAAGCTTGATCATCCTGGAACTACTTCCCGCTCTGCTGCCACTTTACCTTGCCTGCTCCTCCTACACTGACTTCCTCTGACTGCCTTGCCTGTGTTCCCTGCAGTATCTGAAAAAGCTTCACACCCAAGAGCGAGCGGTGGAGGAAGTCAAACTAGCCATCAAGCCCTATTACCAGAAAAAAGAGATCACCAAGGAAGAATACAAGGACATCCTACGCAAAGCTGTCCACAAGGTAAAGCAGTGGCATCATGCAGGGGGGAGGCAAGAGCAAAAGCGTGAGAGCAGAGAGGAGCAAAGTGTTATGGAAATCACTTTCTTTTCTTCTCCCTCCCCCCCCTCCCCACCCACAGATCTGCCACAGCAAGAGTGGTGAAATCAACCCTGTCAAGGTGAATAACTTAGTGAAGGCCTATGTCCAGAGATACAAGTACTTTCGAAAACATGGACGGAAGATGGATGAAGAGCCAGGGCCCCCCAAGGAAATAGGGGGACTGGACAAATCTGGCTTGCCCATGCCCCCGCTCTGATCTCCTCTGAGGAAAGGGAGGAAAAAAAAATCACAGCAGCCCTTCTTTATGCAAATTGGCTTGGCTGAGCCCCCCAACCCTTTCCCCATCACTGTGTGGGGCAAGTGGAAAGGGGGTTGGGGTGACACATTTTGTTTTGGAGGGGTGGCATTTGTAGAGTACAGTTCTTGTGCATCTGCTACCTGCCCTGGAAACCTCTCCCTTGCCTTTCCTAAACACTTTCACAGTTTTAGCCACAAAATCGACTTGTGTTTTACTCTGTAAATACAGATGGAAGAGGATGGGGCTAATTTTTAGTTTCATCACTCTCAAGCACCCATGATGTGATGGGTGGATGTTATTCCTCTGACAAACCTAGTTTTTACTCATTTAGCATGTTTTTAATTTGATGGTTTTATCCTTGCCCTCTCTCGTCAACGGTCATGAAATGGCAGTACCATGATTGGCGTATAGATGGCAGTTTCCTGTCACCCCAGACAGGCAAACACCTCTCATTCCCTGCTTCCAGTTGTAAGTTTGTCTGTCATACTTTTTCCCACCCTGTTTCTCTTCATAAAACTGCATTTAGCCATCTAAACTGGGCACTGTCTCCGTGATCTTTTAGCAATGTGGTTTCTATGCTTTCTTGGGGCAGGAATCTTGATCTTGTGCTCCCTTGGCACGCAGATGGATTGCATTTGCAACTATCATTACGAGAGAGTGGTTTTTTCCCCCAAAGGATGCCTTTTTGATGTCTAGTGAGTAGGCACCAACTTCTTTGTGGACTGCACCTTCTCCCCTAGAGAAGGTGTTGGCAAGCTTTTCAGGTGTCAAGCACCATCACACTATTTCATGTGAAATTGCAGGCATCAATTTTTCTTAAGTTCAAAAGTGCCAAAAATCTCATGAGGTGCCATATGAGAATACAGCATGCTTGTGAGGCATTTTTAATTTAAACATACTGGCATGGACACAAAATGAAATTTCTGTTAACAGACAGACCCCCATTTAACAAACTGTAGATACAACAGATCAGATTTCTGTCAAGATATCAAAATAACAGACAAGTCCAGCGCATCCCAAAATCATCTGGATGAGTTAAATTTACATTAATTTGATGCTAATGTTATAACATCTGTAGCAATTCATATCATTTGCATGTTATGCTATTCATGTCAATTTATCAGTTTGAGGCAAAATCATGCAAATTACCTAATTTGCATATATGCAAATGATATAAATAACTGCAATGATGTACTCATATTTAACAGAACTTTGAGAGTAACAAACACTCTTTTCCCAATTGGTCTGTTAAAATGATTTTTATGTATTTGGAGGGTAAGTAAGTACCATCATGCTGGTGATGTGGGTAATGCATTGGCAATTCAGGTCTTTAGTTTTAAGCAGCAGTCAGATTTGGACTCTTAGCTGGCCATGTGAATGTCCCGATAGAGCTACCTATGTTCTCCATATCAGAGAAATCTGGAGCCCAACATGCCTTTTGTAGATTTCTTGGACTATGTGTTTCACTCCCATATCCTGGTTAGCAAAATCCTATGCCCTTGCTTAGTCTGTAGTCCAAAGCCTGTGCTTGTCTGAAAACAGTAATAGTTTAGAGGAAAGAAACTCAGACTGGGAACAGAAGGGAAAACAAGACCAATGAGGAAAGGTGAAAGGCAATTTGGAGAGGAATGAGGAAGGTCATGACTGCAGTGCAGAACTAGACCTGTGAGATGAGAATAGGCAAATATTAGGACAAAAGGTAAGGGCAGTTCAACAATGGAGTTGGTGAGCTTGCCACGGTAACTGGTTCTGCTCACTGGAGGTCATCAGACTCTGGACAGTCACTTTGGAGTTGCTATTATTTCTGACAAACCTGTTTTGAATAGGGTTCAGCCCAAGAACCTATGAAGCTCCTTCTACCTGTAGTATAAGCATTTACATACCAAAGAAATATATCTGTAGGAATTAGGGTAAATAGGCATCTGTTGAAAAGGTTAGTGTGCTGGAGGACTTGTAAGGTAGAGTGGGCTAAGAGTGTGGGGGAAACGTGCTGGCAAACTGCAAAGTGGCTTGCTTTAACTTTCAGCATTGAGCCAAGTGGATAAGAGAAACTAAGAGTCTCGGGCAAGATTACTATAAATATTTTCTGAAAGGGAGAGACAAATCTTGAGATGGAGAATTGGGCAATTTCCTGTATCCATCTTCAAGGTGATTGTTGGGTGATAAGCTTGTGCATCTCTATATTCACCTCTGGTGGAAAAAATAGCTGTTGAATAACAAATGCTGTTCTTTTCTGCTCAACATAAATTTTTGCTTGGATGGTTTTGTCTGTTGGGGAGGGCAGGGAGACTAACTGGAATGGCATAGGGGCTGACTTGTGGCAGAGGACTACTGGAAGAAGTGCTGCGTGAAGGAGCTGAGAAAAAGAATGCTTTGAAGGGCAATGTGGACATTGGTTGAACATACATACTTAGTCATGTTGCATTGCCAACTTGGATCAGGCTTTTGCAGCACTTAACAAGGAATGGATGCAAGAATGTTTAGAATTTTTTAGAATAAAAACGAAACTTGAAAAGTGGATATAGAAGAAACATATACAAGCGTGATCCAGGTAAGTCGTTTTTCTCCCCAAATTCTGTAACTTAGGATTATCCAGCAGAATTTGGTTGGTGGTGGACTCAGAATGGATAAAATAAAAGCATTACTTCAGTGTGTGTAATGTTTGGAATTTACTTCTGTAAGATGTAATGGCCATCAAGATAGATGGCTTTTTAAATCTCCAGGGTTGAGAGGTATGACTCTGTTGCTGCTTTGGTCTAGTAGAGCTGTTGTCCTCGTATTTTCTGTTTCTTCCCCTTTGCAACTCCTGCTCTGCCTTCAAAATCATGATGGGTTAGAAGTTGAAGCTAGACAGAAACCAGTCTTTCCCTCCACTGTATTTAATTTATACAATATATTTATTGTACAGTAAATTTTACAAAGAGAGCCAGTTTGGTGGTGTGGTTAAGGCACCAGGCTAGAAACTGGGAGATTGAGTTCTAGTTCTGTCTTAGGCATGAAGATAGCTGGGTGACCTTGGGCCAGTCACTCACTCCCAGCCTTAGGAAGGAGGTAATGGCAAAGCCACTTCTAAAATCTTGCCAAGGAAGCTTCAGGGACTAATCCAGGCAGTCACCAGGAATCAACACTGACTCGAAGGCTTTTTTTTTTTTAAACAAAGACTGCATTTCTTAAAATATAATCTAAGATTGGTTGATCCTGGAAATATTTATATATTCTTCAGCTGGGAATCCAAGCTTTATTAACCACAGTGCATATGTATAACCCTACTGGTACATGCATCCATTCACTCTCACCTTCATGTAGCTGGGAAGATTGCTTTGTGTTATGTGAATCTCTGATCATAGTTAGACATGTCTAAAGCTAAGATGTTTAAGATAGTTTTATCCACTTCTGTGGTTAATATACACAACCTGGCCTGTTTGGATGCATTCAACTATATTTCTGAGTTTGTGTGTAACATCATCTGTCTTCTTTCTGGCTTTCTGACACGCCAAGTGGAGTGACTGTTCTTCCATCACAGGTTAAGCTAGAATTCTTGGCTTAGTGTCATGTGCAAATGCAGAATTAAGAACCAGACAGTAAAGGAACCAAGAAACGATGTGAACTAAAACCAGCAAAGACCTTATTGCAGTTCTCCTCAATCTTCCAGATGCAATCAATTTCAATTCCCATAATCTCTAAATGCCATTGACCACCTGGGCTAGGTATTCTGGGAGATGAAATAAAACACAACTGGAGGGTGCCATATCAAAATTAAACAATCCACTGTAAAAGAATAGCACAAGTAGGTTTTTGAAATAGCAACACTAATTTAAGTTGAACTCAGAAGAATGACTTTTCGAAAGAGAGCAGAGAGAATTCCAAGCCCAGAAATTCACTGTACAGAGGAAACAGCTAATTAGCACAGAGGTAGGCAATGGGGGGGCTGGGCCCTCCAAATACATTGGACTATAACATCCCTCAATCTTGGACTGTAACACTCAGTTTCCAACTGAGATGAGAAGAGTGAAATCAAGTTGAGACGCTTTGGAATACTTTATGAATGGCAAGAGTAGCAACAGGAGTAAGGACTGACCTTTGTTAAGATTTGGTAATAAGGCAAATAAAATAAAAATGGAACTAAACACGACTGTGGTCTGACAAAATTCCAACAAATGAATCATTAAGTCTTAAGTGTTAAACTGCTGTGGATGAAAAAAAACCAAGATTGTATAGAATAGACAAAGCAGTAAAAAAGCTATTAATGTTTACATGTGGCTGGACTACTTAGAGGAGTCTTTATGAGATGGATGAGAAATTTGGTTCATCTAATATCAAAACTGGTGTCTGTATCTCAGCATCAACAAGAAAAGGAGGAAATCGGCTTAAAAAATACATTCAGCCTATAAAGATAATGTTGGGCATTATTTTATTAGACCAAACACAAAAAAATAGTTTTTACATTCTAGACAGTATGCAGACCCAAAACCATAACGCTGGGGAGTTGTGGGGGAAGGAGGGAAGCAATAATTCAATTGACTTAAAAAGTCCAGTAGAATTCCAGGCTACATTTCAGTTTTCAGTGTTCACCTTTTCACAGGAAAGACAAAATGTCATTGTGCTGTAGAACAGAAGAATCCAAAGGTAGCTGCAGCCGACTGTGGACAACATGTACTGGGTAGCTAGTTCCTAAACTCTTATCTCCATCTTCTCTTCCCATTTTCGCAACTGCTCCAGAAAGTTGTGGTATTGTAGAGAATCTGAGATCCTTAGGTCTGGTTCGTTACCTTTTAATGACGATGCCCCCCAAATTTGGCCCAGTTCACAAAGAGTTTCTAAAACCTTGGGAATTATCTAGACATGGAGGTGGGAGAAAGTGGAAAGAGAAAAAACGCTGCTTATAGTCAGTTCTTTAAATTTTGTTCATCTCTACTACTGAAAGGTGGTCGTTTCTGAAAGCTGCAATTGTAGAACTCTGTGTGAAATCTGATCTAGACCTGATTCACACATGTTGAGCCATGGCTTGTTGAATAAATCAAAACTAGTTAGTGTCACACAATATTCTAGTTTGGAAGTGTACCACATGTGGCCCTCAAACCTTTGGCTAAGCCCTTCAGAGATTCCCCAAAGGTATTGTTTCAGAAACCTTAAATTGTTTCTGAATGTAAAATACTGAATTCTAAATTTTTATGTGATGGGGAAAAGTACAGGTTATAATTGCTGGGTTTGGATAGCATGTTAAGCCACAAATTAAAAAATACATTCTGCTTTAATACGTCTGAACATAGCTACTGTGTAAAAGGAAGTCTAGCTTCTCTGACTTCTGCTAGTGCATAATGGAATTCAAAAGTGGGACATTTTTGGCTTGCCAGATTCTGGATTTCAGCTTGCTTCAATCCCAGCCAACAGAGCTAGTGCTCAAGGATGTGAGCTACTGTCAACATCCAGAAGGCCACCAGGTCACCACCCTGTTTATTTCCCAGCTTAGTTCACTGCACTGCAACAACTGTTGCAGCCCTTGAAGAATGGACAGCTTTGTTTGCTTTTGGACTTTCCTAGAAAGTTGGAAGGGATTAACGCACAAGTAGCAGAGACTAAGGAGGAAAAAAAACAGCAACAATCAGAATGTAGGAATGAATAAAAAGAGAGAGGAGAGATTTAAAGAAAGGCTCCTTCATGAGCAGCCAAAAGAACAGGGCTGTTCCCTGGCTGCCGAGTTTTGGAAACACTTGGAAAACAACAATCTTTTCTGAGATTTGCTTTAATTTAGCCCCACAAGAAGAATCCTTTCCCCTTCATAGTGTTGCTCAAAGCTGAGAAGTCAGGGCCGCTTCTCCCGTCCTCTAACTGCCTTGAACTAAGAGCACAGCACAACGTGGAACAAAACTGTCTTTCTGAATGTTAAGGGGAGAACAGGAAAGGAGGGCACTCAGGTCCGGTTCACATATAGTAGACGCTAAAGCTTAGTGTGTTGGGTAAATTAAGCCACCCTGGACTTAATAAACTATGGGTAAACAAATTCTACCTTAGTATAATGTGTAACCCTAAAGAAAATCTATGTGGTTGTTTAGAATCAACACTGACTGGATGGCACATAATTGCAATGTATGAATCAGATGATAGCAAGCAGCACAGCCACAGCGCACAATAGCCACAAATGGACACAGTTCTTCCTTCCTGCTCAGGAGATGAGAAGCTTTCAGTTCTAAGGGGACTATTGTGTGCCCTTGTGGTCAAGCACAGCAACCCCAGTTTGAGGACAAACTATATATTCTTCTGCACTTGGAGAAAAAGGCCAACATGGTTCTGTAAATACAGAAATAGTTAATTCTCCCTCAAATGGTATCTGAATTGAGCCACAGATAGGTAGAAAAGACAAAGTCCATTTTAGCCATGGAACTAAAAAACGTTTTTCTTGGCAAGAGTTAGAATCCCTAACAGACCTATCATATACAGCTTCTCAAGGTGTGACTCTTTTAAATCCACACAAAAATGGAGGATTGTGTCCCACCAACACCATCCTGTCAGCGTCTCCATAGTGACTAGCAATTTCTCTTTTGTGTAGAAATTAGAAGGAGAATTACAGAAAATGTATTGTCGAAGGCTTTCATGGCCGGAATACGATGGCTGGTGTGAGTCTTCCGGGCTGTGTGGCCATGTTCTGGAAGTTTTGTTTCCTAATGTTTCGCCAGCATCTGTGACCGGCATCTTCAGAGGGCAGGAACAGAGACAGGAAACGTTAGGAAACAAAACTTCCAGAACATATAATGCCAATCAGACTTTGATAATGCCAATCAGACTTTGATAATGCCAATCAGACTTTGATTCTATGGCTGGTGTGGATCTTCCGGGCTGTGTGGCCGTGTTGCGAAACATTAGGAAACAAAACTTCCAGAACACGGCCACACAGCCCGGAAGACCCACACCAGCCATAGAATTACAGAAACTTTGAAAAATAATATACTGTATTTTATACTGCTATGAATTTTTCAGTTCTACATTCAGTGAATATTAGCATATAGTATTTACCTTTGGCTGCAGAGTCTCAGCTTCCATTTTTAAAAACTTAAAGGAATCTCAAACTAAGCAACTGTATTTAGAGAAAGTATAATGCCAATCAGACTTTGGACAAAATGTAAGTTTTCACCCAGAGGACAGGAAAAAATATATCACAATAGAACATGCCAGTGTATTTGGCTACCTCTGTTTTTTAAAACTAGATTTCTAGTTTGCAGGACCATTTTTTTTTAAATGAAGTGATAATTTTGTCTATTGAAAGGCATACCCCTAAACCAATTTTAATTGCACTTGTATTTTTATTTATTCAAGTTGTGTCCTTTCTATTTATCAAGTGCTC